ACGACCAAACATACCGCACACAACTCGCCGACCGCGGCCTCATCATCACCACGTCAGACACGGTGCGTGTGTTGTGGGGTGGTGTGTGTGTATCTGTGTCTGTGTCTGTGTCTGTCTGTCTGTATGTGGCTGGCTGGCTGGCTGGTGCTCTTTTCTCGTGCATGCGTGTTTCGGTTTCTTCGTGACCGATCCCACAGCCATGGTTCATCTGCATCCTTCATCATGTTGCATTGACAGACAAACATCACTGCGCCGTCCCACTACGCCGCAAAGTACCAGCAACTCAGCGTTGAGTTTACCGGCAACGACCCCGTCTAGTGCGTACACAAATGCGTGTTTGCGATTGTGTGTGTGTGTGTGTGTCGAGATATGCGAATTTATTCCGGTGATCCTGTGTAATTGTGCGTGTGATTGTGTGTGCGTGTGCGTGTGTGTGTGTGTGCGTGTGTGCGATTGTGTGTGCCTTGCAACGATGCTCAATGACATTATCCATGCGCGCCCGTGCAGTCCTTCCCTGTACATTTCGCGGGAGCACGCGACATTCAAGCTTGCGGCCGAATCATACTGTGACTCTGTCAAGTCAGTGTGTGCGTATGCATACGTGTGTTGTGTTTCCTTGTGTTGTGCGTGTGTGTGTGTGTGTGTGGGTGGGTGTTTGCGTATGCAAGTGGTGCCGCGGCGGTGTTCGTGGCAATTTTCAGTCGCCCTCGTCGCTCGTAACGGCGCCACCCCACCTGCAATCGTTCACGTGTATGTCTTGGCCGTGCCCTTGTGCTTGCTGCAGATACATCAATCACATCAACGATCCAGAGTATTTTGACAACACCGAGCTCTTCATCCACACAACGGACACAAACAACACAGGTGTGCGTATGTGTGTGTGACAAGACCATGTACTCGGGCGTCACTGCTTTTGCCACTGTCACTGCTGCTTCCACTACCACTGCTGCTGCTGCTGTACTCCCTCGTTCACACCGCCGCCATCACTGTTGTGTCCGCCATCTCCGTACATGTGCAGTGTTTGAGGACTGCCCCGCCGGCTTCTTTGAGATGGGCGTGGTTGCGGACGTGCGGCTCGTGCAAGGCATCGAAGGTAGCGCGATTGCTGTTGCTCCTGCTGCTGTTGTTCACGGCCGTGTGCCCTCAGTGCTGTCGTTCTCCTCTGTGTCTTCCATTCTCTCTTGTCCTTTCTTACTACCGTTGCCCCGCCCCCGCTTCACCCTGTCACCATCACCGGCACACCACACCACCATTCTCGCCACCCGCAGACGAGTGGAAGGGTGCGCCGAGTGACGTGATCTGGTCGTATGTCGGCACGACGACGGGCGTGTCGCTGTTTCTGCCCGGACACCGTCTTCCGCACCGCTACGATCCGCGCACTCGCCCATGGTGAGCAGGAATGATTGTGAGAGCGAGAGGGGCGTGATTTAGGGACGCTTGTGCTGTGCAGCGGTGTTGTTTCGTCACCTAACCCCCTTTATCACTTGCTCGCCACTTTCGCCCTGTCCTCACATCATCGTTCCCACATGATGTTCACACACAAACACGTGCTCACCGATCATCATCATCATCATCATCATCATCATCATCATCATCATCATCATCATCATCATCATCACCCTCGTCATTGCTGCCACCAGGTACCATCAGGCGTACAGTCTGCAGAACAGAGCCGTGCCGACGATTGTCACTTCTCCGTATCTCGACGTCTCTGGCAGCGGCAAAATCATCACCATCGCCACAACCGTCTTCCAGGTGTTGTGTGTGTGTGTGTGTGTGTGTGTGTGTGTGTGTGTGTGTGTGTGTGGTGATACAACAGCACGCGCATTGCTGCTTGCTTCGATGTCCCTTCTCGTTTACTTATTTCCATATTCTTACTCGCTGTATTTCCCGGCTTTAGTCCAAAGCAAACATCACCCAGAAGGCCTGCACGACGTATCTCGACTGTTGCGAGGTCGATGGAGACTGCAGGTGTGTGCGTGCGTGTGTGTGTGTGTGTGTTGCACACTAAAATGCTGCTTCTTTGTCACTTGTTTCTGCCCCAGTACCACCGTCACTTTCTCCATCCTCACCATCACCATCACCATCATCACCACCATCATCACCGCCGTGCCATGGCCACTGGCAGGCTGTCGTGCTACAACGTGGATGGCCCGTGTCTTGGGTCGCAGGTCGGGTGCACGTGCAGTGCCGACAGCATCCACTCTGTTGCCGCCGTCGACGTGACATACGAAACGTTCCACCAGATTGTGGAGGACGCCGTGCCTGCATGCACGCAGTCATCAACAACGTGAGGCCAATGGGAAAGGGCGAAGGGTGTGTTTGTGTGGCTGTGTGTGTGTGTGTTGAGGGGGATTTACATTTGCTTAACGATACATATTCGCGGGTGTGTGCGAGGTTTTATTTTGCTTGCAGGCCTCCCTGTCCTATCTCTTTTTGCCATTGCACTCGTGTCTCTATGCTATCGCTCATCCCACCCCGCACCATCACCACCATTGCGTGTCGTCAGTCGGTGCTTTGTGATTGACTCTGGCGGGCTGCTCGTGTACGACGCCGAAATCGCCGATGCGCTCGACGGCTCCACCCGGTGAGACGAACGGCCCATGGCGTGGAAGGATCGAGGGGGGTGGTTTAACAGTGGTAGGGGTGGTGTCTGTGTGCGTGCAACGAACAGCAACGACAACAGCGACTGTTGTTGATTAGCCACTCCTTCTTGTTCGATCAACCAGACTTGCACTCACTCGACCCAACCATCAAACACCTCACACGCCATATCTTCATCACACACACACACTTCTCACACACACACACACACACACACTTCACACACACACACACACACTTCTCACACACACGACACTTCTCACCCCTTCCACCCCCTCCACCGCCAGGAGCTATGAGCGGATCAGCGTTGCGCGGCGGGACGGGAGCGTAATGCGGCACCTGGTCGCTGAAGGCGTCCTCACCCGCGACGACTACGTCGACTACCAGGTGGGCGGGGGAGACAGGATGTGTGGATGAGGAGGAGGAGGAGGAGGAGGAGGAGGAGGAGGAGGTGGTGGTGGTGGTGGTGGGGAATGCGTACACAAGGGGTTGCAGTGCATGAGTGAACGCTGCAGTGCATGAGTGAACGCTGTTCTTGTTTCAGTTCATGTGCGTTTCGTGCTTTGCCATGCGCTCACACTGCGCACTGTGCTGTTGGTTGGACTGCATCCACCTGCATTCATGTGCATCGAAATGCGAACACGTGTGGACATGTGCGTGCGTGTGTGCATGTGCGTGTGTGTGTGTGCATGTTCGTGCGTGTGCGTGTGTGTGTGTGTGTGTGTCGTTAGGGCGAGTGCAGTTCCACGCGTCCGTTTGACCGGCTGTCTGTGAAAGGGCTGCGGGAAGGGCTGCCCCCACGTGACGCCGACGTCTACGACAAGTTCCGCGGACCCCAGCCACGGTCAGTTTGGTGTGGTGGTGAAAACAGTAGGTGAAGGAGCGGGGGGGGGGAATATGTGTGTGAGTGTGTGTGAGTGGGTAGGGAACGCTAGCTGGTGTGATATCACATGTGCGCGCGCGCGTGCGTGCGTGTGTGTGTGTGTGTGTGTGTGTGTGTGTGTGTGTGTGTGTGTGTGTGTGTGTGTGTGTGTGTGTGTGTGTGTGTGTGTGTGTGTTTGTGTATGTGTGTATCCTTGTCTGGCAGCGCCCTCCATGCGTGCATTTTCTTTTCAAACCTCCTCCTTTCTTTGCCTGTAGCAAGTTCACCTTCGACGCTTGTCACTTGCCACATTCACTTGCTCCACTCATTCACCCACTCACCCTCCTCTTCTTCGGCCACTGTCGCTGGTTCCAGCCACGACTTTCTGTACACGTGTGTGAACGACGTCATCGCATACACGGCGGTGCGCGACGCGCTTCCTGTCGGCACCGTCAGCTCGGGCTCAACCCAAGCCAACCCCTGTCTCCAGTCCCAAGACATGAAGGTATAGTAATGTGGTGATGTGTAGTGAAGTGTGTGTGTGGGGGGGTGTGGGTGTGTATTTGCTGCTGCTGCTGCTGCTGCTGCTGCTCTGTGTGTGTGTGTGTGTGTGTGTGTTTTCTGCTTGCACGCTTGCTGAATCGCCACCACTTGACCCAACACACACACACACACACACACACACACACACACACACACACACACAAACGCTCACTGTTTGCAGATCACGCCCATCCCCAACACGAACCTGTATCTTGTGGTGGCGTACAACCGACGGGAAGAGTCGACGCCGATGCCCTTCAACTGCCACATCTTCAACAGGTGCGGTGGGCACTGGCCTGAGCTTCTGGGGCTTCATGCCATCCAAGTGTGCGCGCACACATGGTTTGCAGTCTGCAAAGTTGAAAGGAGCTCCTTATTACTTGTCACTTACTCACTGTTTCGCTCGCACTGTAATACGCTTACTCCCTGTTATTCACACACTGTAATACACGTACGCACTGTTGCACCAACTCACGCAAACATCCTGCACGCACTTGCACAATTCATTCACCACCCCAGGGCGGTGGACTCTGGCGCGTTCCAGATTGTGAACGGGACGTGTGCTGCTGCAATGACGGAGGAAGAGCCAACCCTGCGCGAGCAAGAGATGTGCCCTGCACTGTACCCCGTCACCCTGGAATGCAGTTTCAACGCCGCCTCCCACACCACACCGCCACCGCTTGTGTTGTTTTCCTCGCTGCTCGTCGCTGTCCTCTTCCTGCTGTGCAACTGAGCGAATATTGTGTAAAGATTTCCCCCAATTGTCCACAACCCACGTGTTTGGAGTCAAAGAAGAGCAAACAGGCGATCAGCCACGCGCACACAGCACACGCACACGCACACGCATCACAACACACGCACCACACGCACATCATGGAGCTGGATCGGCAGTCAAAGGTGGTGGACGCAGACGCGTTGAGCAAGTACAGGGCCGCGGCAGCCATTGCCAACGACTGTGTTCAGCAGCTCGTGGCCAACTGCATCGCTGGCG